GTACCTATTAATTAAATATTGTTTAATGATTCCTTCTGTAGAAAATAGCTTAAGTGAAGAACAAAGCTTCCAGATTTATTATTCAAATAAAACAAACTCCTGCCCTAAAGAGCTAAAACCTAATACTTAAAAAAAAAAATCTCATAACTGAGATGTGGAGGCCATGGTTCCAAAAAATAAGATACCAGCTTCAGTGAAAGGCTCAGATGTACCTACACAGGAAACAACCAGACATCCAGATGCCAGGTAAAAACCCAAATAAACATGGTGACAATTTTACCCACAGTAAAGCAGTCCCATTCAGCAGTCCCATTCTATATGTTTTCTCTCACCTCTGCCTCATGATATAAGTGTTCAGAACTATTTTGCCACAACATGAACTAGGAATACTTTCAGCCTCCTCATTCTACCTGACCATCAGTCCCCTAACAGCCTGATTTAATTTGAGAACTTCAGAGAATAAAAGCCTTTATCACAGGCACCAGTAATAAAGGGAGGTTTCATTTTGGACCCAATTCAAACTCTGTTGAAGCCAGAAGAAATCTCTCAACAAGTTTCAATTATCTTTATTGTTTAGCAAACGTTATGACTCCAAAACAGCCAAACGTGATGTAACTAATTAATGATCCTGTATTCTCAGCACCTACAGCCAGGGCTAGTCAAAAACATCTTAAACATCCAGCAAGATCATTCAGAGACAAGTGTTTGATCTACTGCATTTACTTTACTGGCAAGTGTGCAGATGTTAACAGCTCCTAAACATGCAGCTAGGAATCTAGGAACATTTTAATAAATTTTGCACTCACTCTATCAACTAAGCAGTAGATACATCAACACCTACCTGGATTTTCTACAGCATCACTCAACAACTGCACATACCCAGGTCCTTTTAAAAGCTTGGCTTTGAGCATTTCTGCTGCTTACTTTAAGTATTTTTAAGATACTTTTACAAGGCTTAAATTCAAAATGAAGCTTTTTTCTGTCTCCTTGGGTGAAATGCAGTAATTATGTACACACTCACAGGCACAGGCATGTAAAAAATATACAGTGAGACAGAATCACAGAATTAACCCCTGACTAATCACCTGTGACTTGAAGGGGGGAACCTCATAAATTATTCAAGAGCAACTGCAGTCTACTTGCAGGCAGAATGCTTCAAAACCTTCCAGAAGTCCAAAGCAGTATCTGCAGTAATAGTATTTTCCAAAATGCTAAAAAACATGGTAAGAAGCAGCAAACGGCAATGTGTGAAGACACAGATAACATGGAGACAGCGAGAGAAGCAGGACACAGTTTAACTTTCACAAAGTAGCTGTCACTTGAAATCACGTGCCATTTCCACATATAAACTGCCCCCAAATATGTTTTTTTCCCTGTCTTTAACAGCAGGTGTTGAGTCTTATACTTTTTCTGACAGGTTGAAAGACCTGCATTATCTGCCAACTGAACCAGCATGGACAAACATTTACATCCACCTTGGTCCTGCTGGGAAACCGTGACTGAAATTTAACTTTGTTGGTCCAATTAAAAGGAAATCTAGTGCACATCAGAGGTTTTTCAGATGTTAACAGTCCCGCATGCAACTGAAATCAGTGTGCTTGTATTTGCCTGCAACTCCTAATCTTCTGGCAAGTAAACTCTCTCAGTGACCTCTATCCACATGCAACTGAAATCAGTGTGCTTGTATTTGCCTGCAACTCCTAACCTTCTGACTCCCTTCCAGCCTAGGACTGGTTAATCACCTTTCCCTGTTCCTGTTATTTATGCTACAGTAGAAACCTCAAGCTGGGTCAGCCCTTTTGCAAGAAGCAGAAAATTATTTCAGTGTAAAGCTCTTTGTGGCAGAACATGACACGACAGACAGAAGAGCAGAAAGTCAAAACAGTGGCCTAAGAAGTAAAAAGGCTTTAAGTTCAAGCTGAAGAACAGACCATTTAGCAGGACCATAACCCAGCATCTCCTGGTGGGCTCACTGCAGTCGCTATGCTGCTCTGCTCGGTTCCTAACACACAGCTTATGTGCCTTTTCAGCAAATCCATTGCAGCTATCGTATTTTTCTTACATTATCAAAGAGGGGTCTTTGCAGCATCTTCATCCTTGCCTCAACACACAGTTACTCTCATTCATTTCCATTTCATCCTTCTCCGACCTTACCTTGGACCCTACCTCCTTTCCAGTTCGAGGCACTGGAGGAAGGCAGGGGAAAAGCATGGAAACGAAGTGAGTCAGCAGTTTCTGAGCAGCACACAAGCATTAGTCAGAGCTGATCAGGGTACTCACCACAGACAGATGTGAATGAGCCCAAGACCACCAAACTGGTGAGCAAACTTTCCCAAGCACCCCAAAATGAATCACTGGGCAAGGCCACCCCACAGATAAAGCACTTCAGGGAAAAAACATTCTCATCCGCCACATACCAGTGCTGAAAGGCAACAAAGCACACAGGGTAGGGTACTGCTCTGCCACAGTTCTACTTCCCTTAAAAAATGCCCACTGCATTCAGAACAGCTGAATCAAACACACCTGATGAGACAGTTGCCTTGGCTGGTATAATGCTCTCCCTAATTAGCAAGGCCCACAGTTGCAAAAGCTTTTTCTGAGTAAAGCACATGCACAGTGCCTTACTATGCACTGTTGCACTCCTGCTCCCTTATCAGGACACACTGACAGCAGGACTAGTGATGATGTTAGTTAGGGAAGCGGTGTTCCACATCATGCAGTGGAAACTGGAATTCTTAAAATTTAAGACAAAATTACTAATACAGGGTCTAAGGGCCACAAGCATTCATTTGCAACACAAGAATAGTACCTTGCTACTCTCAGCACAGCTGGGTTTGTACCCCTGCAAAAAGAGATTTGAAGGGGTATTGTTCCAAGTCTTCACCTTCTAGCAATAAAATCAAGGGTACACAACAGAAAAAACAATCCACTCCTTCCAGCAGGGCAGAGTAGGCTGTGAGATTCTCATCCATCATCTGCAAGAGACCCCTTCCCCTACAAAACTCCTGTCTGCTACAGCACAGTAAGTCCATTAAACTGTGAATGATGTACAACCATCACTCCAGGAGAGCACACCTCACTCGAGAGAGATGAGCACTGCTCCAGCACCTCTGCATTTGCGCTGGACAAAACAAGACTTACTGTAAAAACACCCTCCGAAACAAAACGACACAGACTGAGTTTCAAGAAACACAGTTAATTCCTGTACTCTGGGCACAGCATTCTCTGTTCTGTAACTCTGAGCAAGTGCTAACCTCTCTGTACAACTTCTCCTCTCCTAAAACACATTACTTCCACCTTGTTGTGAGACAATTACTAAAATCTGTTAAAGTGCTTGCCAAAAACACAACTAAACTTTACTTAAGAGCAACCTTTATCCATAAGCAGTTTGCAATATGCTCTCTTCTCTGCAGCCTTCCCAATATATTTTTCCACATGAAACCTGGCCCTGTCATCCATAAAACATAGTTAAAGTTTCATTTTTCAGTACAGCTTATTCAGGCATCGTTAATGCAAAACATTAACAGGGAAGAGGAAAGCTACATGTAATATTTACACAAGTTTCTAAAGTGAATAAATATGTGTTTCAATCCATAGTGTTTGGAAAACCACAGCATTGGATCAGATACAAGCAACTAGAGAAAGAAAATGATAGCAAACATTTAGAGCACATAAACTATTCTACTGATCCATGCAGTCAGTCTTTACACAGAAGTAGTCCTGGCATACACAAACAGACCTCTGTATGTCTACACCAATCTTATCCCTCACATGAGAAGTTAGAGAAAAAAAAAAAGGCTGCAAATTTCAGCTTAGGCTGCTTCACAGCAGTTTCTCTACTCCAGCAGTTTTTAATTCTTTTCCTACTCACTCTAGTGTGAAGTCATTATCAGTATAAGCTGAGGCTACAATCTCCTGGTATAACTTCCTGGGCAGGAGGCATCATTGTTTTTAAATATATGCTTGGGTTTTTTTGTTTGAGAGTTTCTGGCATCCTTCTACCTTGTTGTAAAGCATTTTCAGTTCTCATGTAGCAGCAAGGTTGCTCTCTCCCACACAAGCACCTGCATAAGGTACATCATCCTCAGATGTCTGTACAGGGACTTAAAACACGACTTTTAGAAATGTGTAACAAAGATAAGGACCAGAAGTCTCGGTGTGACATTGTTGAAACAGACTCTTTCGTGGGTTGCCTTTTCAACCATTCGAGTGAGTGCTCACTTGTTGAAATAAATGCTAAAAAGCATTACTTGTTATTTAAATAATGTTCACCACATGGTATCAGCCGACACACCTTAACTCAGTTCGCGGCCATTATTTAATTCGGCTTAAACATCTTCATCAACAGACGCCGATAGGTGAAAGGCAGAGCTCCTACAGCACGTGAGCACGACACCCGGGAGGCAGACTGACCTCTCCCCGCCTCAGCTCACGGACTCCGGGGTACGGCGGTCGGAGCAGCCGCCGCCACCGCCCCGCGCCCGCCCGCTCCGTTCCCGGGGCACCCGCCCGTTCCCGGGGCACCCGCCCGTTCCCGGGGCACCCGCGCCGCCCGCCCCATCCCCGGCCACCCCAGCCGCGCCGAGCGGCCGGACCGAAGAGAAAGTGGAAGGGGCGGCACGCCCGCCCGGCGCGGCAGAGCGGGGCTCGGCGGGGCTGGGCCGCCGTAGCTCCGCCGTTTCCACGGAAACCCCGGCGCGGGCAGAGCTCGCCACACAAAGGGGGCCCGCAGGCGGCAGGAAAATTCTCGGCGGCCGCGGGAGAGACGGCCCGGGTCCGGGCGGCGGAGGAGCCCCAGCCGGCGGCGAATAAATCAGGGAACTTGTACGCGCAGCCCACCGCCCGCCTCTCCCGCACGCCCCGCCGGCGGCTGCCGGTCCCTCGCCTCGCCGCCACAGCGAGGGCGGCAGCGCCAGGGAGGGGCTGGCTCGGGGCTGGTCTGCCCGCCCGGGGCAGCGCGCCGGGCGGAGAAGGGAGGGCGCCAGCGGCAGAGCACGTACCTGGCGCCGGCGGGCCTGGGCACGCGTGCCGCGCTGGAGCGACGGGAGCGGGCGGCGGCCGAGCCGCACCGGCTGCCACTACTTTGCACGCGGCGGGCGGCTCGGGCGGGGCCGGCAGGCTCCACCCGCCGGGCGGCTCCACTCCGGGAACAGGGCCCCCCTCGCCTTCCCTTCCCGCCGTCAGCATGTCACTTCCTCCGGGGGCGGTGGGAAGGGGACCCCTCCCCGCTCCGGCCTCGCCCGCCCTTCGGGGCGCCGCCGGAGCGGAGAAGGAGAGCTCCCGGTGCCGCGCCGCGGCTGAGGAAGGGCCGCGGGCTCCGGGGAGGGAAAGCAGCGGGAAGCAGCGGCCCGGGGGAAGGGGCGCGGCGTTCCGCCTGTCCCCTCAGCGTGTCCGGCGCTGATCGGAGCTGGCTGCTCGTCATCCCTCACCGCGGCAAACGCGGGGCGATGCTCACCTGTGACTGTCTGACCCTTCAAGTAGAAACCGGGCAACAGAAAGCTACTGCACGGCCTGGATGCTGTGGAAAAAGATAAATGCCGTGGCAGCCATCCAAGCACCGAGTACCCTGACACACAATATTCACTTTATATGACAGCGCAAACACTGGCTGCCAGGCTCTGATTGCGGGGTGTGGAGCAGCTGCCATGAATAGGGAACAGCAGGAACTGAGTCTATTATAAACACCCAAAGCATTGGAAGGTGGTGGTGACTGGGATGACACATCGCTGGGACAGCACTGTCAGCTGCTGGGTGTCTGCTTATGGCAGGGCTGGAGGGCTCCCGAGGCTGGGGGCTGGCAGATGCTGAGCTGGATAGAGCAAAGCCCTGTTCCAGTCCCGGTCCATAGCAGCCACGTAGAATCCCTGTTTATCTTCAATGTAAGATGAATGCAAGTTAAACACTTGTCATGGTTTAAGTCCAGTCAGCAACTACTGGCTAGGCATCAGTCGGTGTCTGCTGAGCACTCTACTGTACATCACTTGTTTTATTTCTCTCTCTCTTTTCATTGCATTTATATTTCATTGTTGCAGTTATCATTAGTGCTATTGCTCTTAGGGAGCAGCAATAGCCAGGCTGCTGCTCAGGGGAGGAAAAGCCTGGAGCTGAGGGTAGCCACGCCACAGGCAGTGTACTCACTGGCCAGAGCACTTGGCCACAATACCTGAGCAGCGTGCAGCTGCTCTGACAGTCCTAGACAAGGTGAAGCAACGAAACAGGTCTGAAGATTGTACAAAGAGCAGCAGAAGATAAGGCCGCAGCTGGAAACAGAGCTACAGTAGGGTCAGGAAACAAGGCAGGAGACCAAATAAAGCACATATGTATCTACTGGAAAGCTCTGACAGGGACTAAAGGCTCAGAGCTGGGCTTAAATGTAGCTCTGGGCCATGGGCTGTGCGTGTGGGTCCCACGTGAAGCTGGTCAGGGCCATCAAGATGTAAGTGCACCATCAGTGCCCTGACAGGTTCCTGCTGATGGGGTGTGTTGAGTGTACTGTTCAGGAGGTCAAGATTTAGTCACCTTCGTCCCGTTTGGTCATGGAGGAGTTGAATCTGGCTTACTGACCGCTGGTCTAGCTGCTGAACTGCTATGTGGTAAAGGGAGAGATTGGTAAAGGGAGTTCCTCCAGCCGTATTTTAAAAGTCTGACCCTGTGTCTGCATTTTGAAAAAGGGCTAATTCCAGGAAGAGGGGAAAAATTTAAAATCAGTGAATGAGGCGGTTAATTCTGTAGAATGGCTAGGTTTGTAACACAGCCATGTCCAAAGCATCCCTGACCACCTACCTGAAGCAGCTTTGTGAACTACACCTACAGATTCTTGGGATATTACTCCAAGGTATCTTACTCAGCATCTAGGTAATATCCTGAGAGCCAAGACTCCAAAAATCAGGCACTCTGATGCTGAGTGTGATAGTTTCTCAACATATTTTACTTTGTTTTCCTTGAAACCAAACTCTCTGCAGCTGGCTATGTGTATGTTCTGATTTTCTGTGAAGCCATAATAAGAATCTGTCTTCTTGCTTTTCTTTAGTGTTAAGCTGCAGCTGAATGTAATAGGCTTTATGGACGCTTTACACCTGAGAAAACTTTACACTGGGGAGGCAAATTCTCATTTTGATACAGTACATCTATTTTTCAAAAGACTAACCAGGAATATATGAATAATAAACCTCTCATATTTAAGTTGGGGATTAAAAGGTAAGTCTTGTGAAGCTGTTAGATACCATGGTAATGACTAAGACTGAAAAGCACATAGGAAAAAATACTTCTGAGCTAAGAGTAGGCCTTGTGATGTTCTCACTGAGTATTTTCTAGGTGGTGGAACAAGGAGAATAAAAAGGAATCTGATTCTCTTTTTGTAAGCTCTGCCCTCCAGAGCACTGAATGGAGTATGTCTCAGTTTTGGCATTCTTTGTACTGAGTGCTTGGTTTGCACCCTCAGTGCAGTTTTGTTCCTTGTTTTTAGTGGGCATGCAAATACTTTATTTGCATTGGGCAAGACTGAAGAGTTTAATCAGGAACTTACGCCAGGCAATGATGCCTCCCAGCTATCCATCGCTGTGTGATTTTCAGTGAGTTTCCCTGTAAGAAATAAACATAACAAAAATGTGATAACAACAACAATAACAAACCAAAACCACAAAAACAAACCCCAAACAACCCTCATCCCCTCCAGTCCCACTGGGCAAAGTGTGCACTCCAGTTGGTGAGGAAGCCAGGTATCTGTCATTGCTGAAGCAAAATTCATGCTTGCTGGTTCTCACAGCTGGACCCCAACCCTGCTCACCACATGCACTTTTAAATGATTTGTGAATTTGACTGCAGAACTTTTATTGCAAGCAAAAGCTTGTCTGTCCTGGAAAGTTCTGCAGTGCTACTTATGCCAGCCTAGAGAAATGAGGCAGCACCCCTGCTTTTGATGCTGCCAGACTGATAGGTGGATACTAACATGGGATATACTGGCATACACTGCCATGAGCAGCTGGACTCAAGAGGTCCAGTTTGCTCTCGCTGCATGTCTTATGGTTAGAATCTCCAATATCTAATAAGGTGTGGGTTATAAAAGGCTTGTTTCTTTCATTTAAAAGCATTCATAATGGTCCTCTTCTGTGTAGACTGAGTGTAATAAAGGCTGAACTGCACGCTGCCCCTTATGCCAGCAATAACAGGAAGTCTTTCCTGTACTTGGCTTATCCGTCTTTATGAAAACTGTGGGAAAGTAATTGTGTCTGAGATCTCTGCTGCTTTTTGGGGATTGATTACAATCAGCTAACAAGGTCAGGGAGGAATTATACTAAGGATTGATGTGCATAGTATGACTGCACAATCCTTTCCCACTAGGAAACCACAAGAAAATATCTATACATAGGTTAATATAGGCTGACAGTTTATTGAAGTATGGAAACCAAAACTGATGCAATGCACTATAGTAATGCTAAAAGTTGTAATGCGGATGCAGGTGTACCAGTTTAAATAGGCCAGTGGGGGAGTGGTGTTGAAAATCACACCCAGTCCCTGTGTAATTAATTTTTCTGGGCAAGCTTTTCTAGTGTGGACTAACCCCAACTGTGACACCTGCCATCTTCTCCTCTACCTCAGCTATACAGTGAATCCACTGGTTTCATACAGAAACTCCCACTTCCCTTCAAAGAAGCCACACAGTGCTCACGAATGGAAGCATGCTGTTAAAATTAAACCCTGTGGCTACAGTTAATTTTAGAAGAGACTCATTCTTTAACTGAATAGGCATTAGCAAAAGAGCTGTGTGAGACAAGTTACAGGAATTTAAGCTCCAGGCTGTCCAATTTGACCCTTTACAAAGTCTAGTCTGTACAAAAAGAATACTGAGTGAGATGCCAAAACCTGTTTCTTTGAACATGTTTATTCTTTCAGCATGCTTTATTTTCTGCAACAAGTGTATGATTACTAATCAGTTATGTAAATTCTTTACACTTTTTAAAGAATACAATTCCTTAGTAAATACCAAGGATCCTACCATACAAAATGTTTCCCAAATTACTCTTTTCAGAATTACACCAAATATTTTCATATCTGCTGACATCCACAAAATAAATACTCCTTACACATTGTAAATATTATTTCTGTAGCTGTTTTAAGTATTCAACTTGAGTCTGCCTATGAGGAGAACAGGATCCTTTGTTTCTCTTTATACATGTATCTGCTACAAATGTCACAGATTTGTTTTTCTTGTTTTCTTAAAACTTGATTAAAGTGAAGAGTTCTGCATGGACCACTTTGGGCTGAAACTTCATGATTCAGATGATTAGCTTTAGATATACCTACATGTACAGGTGACAGAGCAGATGTTCTAGACACACGTGGACATGCATGCATGCACACACATACAAACACCTACCCCATGACAGGAGGAAATCTTGCAGCTCTGATTAAGTGTAGTTCAGAGTGTGACAAAATGGTGAGGGCTTCAGTGGCACCTTGGAAATGCAAAGATGCAACATCTGTTACTGGCATGGTCATGAGTGCACATGGGTGGAATTCCTCTCAGATCGTAGAGGGAAGATCTCTTTGGAACTGCAAAGGTAAGGGTTGTTTAGAGGGTACTCAGGAAACTGCAGAAAAGCTCAGATAAGGAACTGTAGAAGAAAAATCTTGGTCTGAACACTTGGAAGCTGGAGTAGCACAGACCCTGTAAAAAGAAATGCTGTTTATGCATAACTGTTTACATCAAGGAAGCACAGCACATTGTCTGCTCTCCAGCTCTTCAAGGGCAATACCTAATTTGCATATTTTGTCTCTGTAGTTACAGAGACATTTACAGTCAAAAACAAATCACACAATTATTCTTGTTGCTTGCATATGTTCATTTCCTCACCTAGAAGAGGAAATAACTACTTCAGTATGATGAGAACAAGGCTGCTATATGCCACAGTAGTGTGTAGAGATGAGCTATGTGAGCCTGCCATTTTGAGCTTTGTACAAATTTACATAAAATGGCAATCCCTGCAATAAGTGGGGTCTTCTTGATCTAGCTTGTAATTAATTCTGCAGCACTGTCTTCACCTTGTGAATGGCTGTATCCTTACCCCACCCATAAAAGACAGACTCTTTAAGCCACACTTTTCATTCATCTTCATTCTGCCAGGTAACAACTCTAGTTCTGTTGTCAAATTTACATTGAAGTTAGTGTTTGATTATTTGTTCAATCACACAGAATTGGAAAGGTCATTTAAAAAACCTTGAAGAAGAGCCAGGAAAAAGACTCACACTTTCTCACTGAAGAACACATTGCCTGCTGCATGTGCTCTCACCAACCCCACACCACACTGTCCATACTGGAAATACAAGACAGGACTCAACTCTTGTTTTACCAGCTGTAGCTGTCTCATCCCATGTTCTCCTAAATGCTATTTTTGTAAAGACAGCTTTATCTGAAGGGATAAAAGAGCTATTTTGCAAGAAGGGTCTACTTTTCAAGAAAATTGTGGGATAAACCATGGTTTGAGTGCTAGGAAATAATCGCTAAGCAACAGTCTTTAT